AAGGACTGAAATACCCTGTGAAGTTGAGGCACACAACGTTGTGTCCCATTGGTGAAGTTTCTGGGCTGCCTTTCCTCACAACAGCCAACCCTCAAGACTGTCTCCATTTGAAGCAACGCATTATCAGGGATCGTAGCATCAAGTCCTTTTACTGAATCGGAACTAAAGCTATACATCTCACAGAAAATAAGGAAGATTGTGAGAGTTCCTGTTAAGGCTCTGTCAGAATTTAGGAGCTAGGTACCACAAATGTGAAATAGAGCTAAATCTTTATCTCTGTTCTTGAATTTTGGGACTGAACATTTGCCTGAAATATCATAATTAAGTTGAGTTATGTTTTTTTGGGTTTGTATTATTTAGGATTAAGTCGGTCTGAGAAGACAGAAAATTGCTGTTTGCTTGTGTTTATGTGTTTTGTCCTTGGAATAAACCGTAATAAACCCAAAGAGATCCAGTTGCCTTGTTGCCTTTGTTTTCAAGCTCTCAAGACTTCAGTGACATAGATGACAAAGAACCTACACAGAGACAGAGAGTTGTCTTTATTTTGTCTTGTCTCATTGTCTTGATTGTCGTCACTGGTTTCTTGTTTTCTTGTTACCCAGCTGTTTCCACTCTCTGTGAAAGCTCTCAGTGGTCATTGTATAAATAGCTGTGCCTTTTCATTTGTCCCTCTTTACTGTGTACCTGCTTGTCTGTGTCCCATATGTTTTCCAGATCTTTGTTATGTTGTTTTCTGAGCCCTGTTTGCATTTGCTTTTAACTCTGTCTCACCATGTCTTGCATTGAGGTCTTAACGTACTGAAAGGCAAAAAAAAGGTGAGTGGGACATTTTATCTACTAATATATAAGAATACAATAAGCTAGGCTGCTAAGCTTGGCTGCTAGACAGCAAAGAGAAAGAACTAAGTGTTTCCTTAGACTTAAACTTCTTGTCAAAGTTTTGGTGATGAATATATGGCACCCAGAATAATAACCATACAATTTGAGGGAGATAGATTAGAAATGGCTTTAGGTTGGGCATTTGGATAATGCTCTATGTCAATACAATGTCTTAGTAAACCACAGGAACAAGTGTGACTGTGTGATTTATTGTAGAGCTCCCACTGTGACTCTACAGTAACTACACAGCCCACAGTGCTAATTAAACTTCTTTCCCAAGAGAGTATTTTAGACAGTTTGTGCAGATTTGAGCACACTGTTAAAAACTGTTACTATGAATTATTCAGTATCAAACCTGATATACTCCTAATTCAACCGACTTAACATTAGTTCATTCAAGAAATGTAACCAATGCATTAACACACCGATTATAACAACTATTTGCTGACAGGGACTCACCAGAGCATCAGCGCACTAAAGCACTGTCACTACATTTGACCCTGCAGCTGACTGCCATCTTGGTCAGCAACAAGATGCCAAATCTATTCTGGATATTGTGTTCAGAGGCTGTGAGTGGGTGGCTGCTTTTCACAGGAGAGCACAGAACAGATTCAGCTAATTTCTGAGAATTCAAATGGACAAGGCTGTGTGTATGTGTGCGCTCTGTCTTGTACACCCCCCCTTACATACTTTAACCTCATTTAACCGGGATAAGGACTAAACACCGTTGTGATCTGACTCGATCTCAAGACTTTCAGCATATTTCATTTCCTCTCCAGCGCTTGCTAAGATCTTCCTGCTAATTAGTCAGAAATGCCTCAGAATGCTCCTGAAAGCAGCGTCTGAACAGCCAGGCGCTAAGACCATGAAGAGGCTCTGGCTCACACTGTTGTCACAACACTGCCTCTACTGCCCTCTGCACTCGCGCACACACATACTCAGCCATAATCCTATATTCTGTGTTTTTATTTTTCGCACGGCACAGGAACACCTCTGAATGAATGGATGCATGAATGAACAGATACACCAAATAGGTCTCTTTTCACATCAGTGTGTGGGTTTCTGGCTGCTTGGCTATTAGCAGCTGAGCATTCCTAATCAGGACTAGGACTGTGCCTGCAGAAAGCCCGCTGACCACACACACATACACACACAGAAGCAGAAAGACAGGCGTGCGCACTGAGACTGTCATGTGTTAGTGTGTCAGCCAGTCTTGCATAGCCAGAAAAACGTGACTAGATAGGGAGCAGATTCAGCATCCTAGTACATGTTTATGTGTTAGTTTGTGTGTGTTTGAGTGTGAGTGCGTGCGCGTGTATGTGCGCAGCGTAAAGCCAGGCATTAGTCACGCTTGGTGAGATATGAAAGAGCAGGGGATCCTCTGCCGTAAGGAACTTCTCGCGCACACACATGTGCCTTCATCCTTCTCTCTTTTCTCCCACATCTCGCTCTCTCTCTCTAATAGTTCACTGGAATCAAGCATAAAGCAATTATTTCCAGAGAAAAGGTGATGACCACACTGATTTATCAACAAAGGCAGCAAGAGAACAAATGGTTAAACAAAATGTTACTCGATCAATAAATCAATGGATACATTTGTCGAAGAAATTGCTTTTTCTCAGCTTATACAACAATTATGACAGCTTACAAAGAATTTTCTATCCGCACACTATTGATATATTTTCAATAGCTTCTGATAAAAATGTAATTATTATGAACAACATGAATATGAAGCAAAAATGATACTATTGAAAGCCTCGATGGCATTAAGAGGAGAACTGAATAAAAACACATGTGATGAAAATAAGCATGCAACTGAGAAGGTAAAGTAACATTAGCTGCTGTTTAGTCAATAATGTGTGTCAAAGCTAAAATATGTGATCTAAGAATTAAAATATGTTTACAGAAGATTTCCCTCGCATGACTTCACAGTGACTGAATTGTCTCCAGCAAAAACACAGGCCTTAAAAGAAAGAGAGGAACACATTCATCTATTTTGAATGTGTTCAAATGTCTGACCTAGTTAAGGTGACTTTGATTTATCTTCTCAGGCACTTAAACAACATCCAAAATGGACACATTGCTTGCGAGGTAAAAGCGGCGACAGTTCATGTATTTAAAATATACTCTCCCCTGCTTTTAGCTAGCTTTAGATGTTAGCTTGAGATGGCCAGCAATAGCCAGTCACTGCTCACATGCAACTATAAGGTATTTTGAGATGCTTTTTGATTCAAAGGTAGGAAGTGGTGCAGATGGAAGCAGAAGCGCTGTAAGTGGGCCAAGCTGCTGACTAAGCTAAAGGCTAGCCCAAGCAGACCAGCTGTTCCCCTGCTTTTTTCAGCCAGTCAGGGCAAAAAAAAAAAAGTTAGACTTTCTCAAGCTAGGAGTGAGTATACAAAACATTAGACACTGTCCTGCTTTCATCTGACCAAAACCTGACCTAGTAAGTTGACAGAGAGTCCGGATAAGGAAAGGGTGGACTCCATAGTTGTGCACCAATTGCTCTGTAATTATTCAGTGGCAAAAGAATATATTACAGTGGCATGATCATCAGTTGACCACTATGCTTTCTATTGTAGCAGTTCCTTAATGTTTGGCTGACTGGCTAGTTTTTATGATGCCACGTCAAGCTAATATAACTTCTAAGACTGATTTCTGCTCTATTGTGTACACTGTGGCTGTTTGGTGCAGGAATTACTTATCTTTCATCGCTGTTCGAGGCTTTTAGTAAGTTAGGAAAGTGAATGGTACATTCAAAAGCCCATCTGAAGCTCATGTAATATTCAGTTATCTGTTGTTGTGTTCAAACTTAGAGCCCAACAAAATTTGTACATGTAACCTGTAACTAGTGGCCAAAAAA